TGTTTTGTATCCTTTAGTTCAAAATTTTCCCAATGGAACTTTTTAAACCACATTTGACACATTACACATTTTTTTACTGTTTATATAGTGTTATATCCTTACCAAAACCTATAAAGCATGATATGTCTGATATACTTTTAATCTGAAGGCATTTTAACTTGATTTTATTTGAACAAAATGTGAAGTAAAAAGTTTAAAATAAGCTTCTAAACANACAAAAGATATATTTTCATTGCTACAGACAATAACACACATTATCCAGCTTCTAAATGTTTATATGACTATTAGCTAAAAATTCCAATTCTTTGTCCTCACTTTTTTATGACAAGTGTTTCCTAACTTGAAATAAGAAAAACTTATTTTAGACAACATAATTTATAAAATGAAATAATTAAAAAATTTACAAAATTTTTTATCAACTATTTTTGTGTCTGTCTTTTCAAAAACTATTCTAAAGATTGAATTATCAAAAAAGTTAGATCCTAATATATAAATTATTTGGAAATGGAATTCAAATTTCTTACAAACTGCAAATATAGCCCATTGTATATTTCTTTTTATTACATTAACATAAAAGATTAACAGCTATTCTATCCATAGACTATTACTTTCAGTTAAAATGTAAATAGTAGATTCCTTCTGCTTGTATATCCTAATTGGTCTCTCTGAAAAAAACAATCATGTAAAAGAAACTCTGATTTTCTCTAGATTTTGAATTATATATTGAGATTTTATTTCATTTCTAGAAATTTAAACTATACAGCATACCATAAAGTTTTTAATTGTAGCAAAATTTATACCGTTAATAAAAAATGTGATGAGTTGAACTTTGTTCAGAGAAAAATACAATGCAAATATTTTTAATTAACAAACAAAATTAAATATTATGTAAATAATTTTTTTTTATTTTTCAACTTGAAAAATTATCGACTTTAAAATTTACATAAGAAAGCAGTACTGAAAAACATCAACCATATTCCATATTGTCACATTAAATTGTAATATTCGTTATTTGTAATAAACAGAAAAAACTTATTCAAATGAAACATATATTTTAAAATTATTTGTCATGACTATAAAAATAACTTTATAACCAATTCAGTTATACATTTATATGTAAAAAATATATACACACTATCTTGTTACTAAAGCACAAGAAAAAAAGTAATATTAAATTAAAATGAATTTTATGGAATTTGTTTTCCACGCCCAATACCACGTCCTAAACTTGAGGCCGCAAATCTCTTGTCTTGGTTCAGGCTAAGTCCTTTGAATAAAACAAAAGGCAGTGTATTTGGCTGTCTCATTTCAGAGTTGTCTTTTTTAGGTTTTGATTCATTTAATGATGGAAAATCATCGTTTGAAAGTACTATATCTGGTCTATTAGCACCATAACTAGGTGTATTCGAATTGGCTTGGACGTCATGAGGTATGTTATTGTTAGCCGTATCTTTCTTGATAATTGTAGTAATAACGTGAGATTTGGGTGGTTTCACCGGAACATTGACGATATTTTTAACCGGTAACGGTGGCGGAAGTGCGGGTTGGTAAGTTTCGAAATCCGTACCATCATCAATTCTCGGAGGTAAATGTTTTGAAGTGCAGTCAACATCATAAAATTGACAAACGGCATCAGAAAGCAAAAAGCAGAAACGTTTGGCACATCCAAGTGCACAATACATATTATCGAGAGTTTCGTGATAATCGCAACGTATATTACCTGCATAATCGTAGGCGTGAGAAGTTAACATGTCGGCAGCAACAACTTTACACGGAAATGCATTATCAACGTAAGCCCTGAGTTCCATTAAAAGATTAACCAAACTATAATACTGTACGTTTTGTATATTGTAATAGTTTGCTTTCTTACAAAGCCAATCAAGACAACCTTGATTCTGTTTTATATTTTCTTCCAAACAAAATACCGGCGCAATTTCTTTTCCTTCCGACTCGACAAATCTTTCGATACTTTTACAGATTTTTAAATAGTTACTCTCCGACAATTCAAACTTCAACGTGGGAATTTTATGCGTTTCGTCGCTGTGTTGCATTGCAGCTCGACTGTATCCGATAGGTATGCGTCCGGCATCAATAAACGTGTGAAAATAATCTTCGATTCCCTCTTTTATTGAATATTTTGTAATTCCAACTTCTAACGGAATATATTCATTGTCGTCGGTGCAGCATAAAACATTGAAAACCATAATGAAGAAAGGAGTGTTTTTAACTTCATCTACAGAATCCATACGGAATATGTATCTTTCCACAAATTTCACTGCTTCCTCTGCCTTTTCTTGTTCTTCTCGTTCAGCACGATAAACGTCATCCAGAGGTGTACCATCAGAGCACATTTTTCCTGCTATGCAGTCTTTCGCTTCATTCTTATATTCTCGTGCCATAGTTTCATATTTTATTCTCTCACTTTCGGGTAAGTCTTTCCACAAAGGATGAGCAATTGGCGCCATCTCCTTCATTGAAATATTCTTACCTTCTGCTCTATACTCTTCCTGTAGTTCCTTCATGAAGAAGTAAAATGCATTCCTCTGCTTTTTTGGCATTTTATAAAGTGTATTTAAACTAATCTAGATACAACAAAGTACGTAGTTGAATTGGCTGTCGAGTAAACGAGAGTATTGCTTGCTTGCCGCCCTCTTGCGGTGAAGTTAGGAGTAAAGACGAACACGTCAATGATTCCCCCTGGTGGTGAAAATTCTCTAATGAAAATTAAGTATTAGCTAGTAGTATTTAATATTTATAATTAAAAGTTTTTTGAATATGAAACAAAAATGTTATAAATAATTTGGCGGGAAAATTTTTGTGACTAAATAAATGAATTTTTAAATATTAAATTAGATATGCCATTCAAATTTTAATAGTTAATGTAGACAGTAAAATTAAAATAATTTACGTTACTCTAGACCTTTAATTTTATACTGTACTTAATAAATGTTGTCTGGTTGAAAACGTGAGAAATATTTAAGCATTTTGGTTCATTGTATGTGCTGTAGTCGAGAAATCACGGCAGTGATTCCTTGCCAAGTAAAAAAGTTACTATATATATACGGGAATTAGAGTTGCCCAAAAGCCGTTTCCGTATTTCCGTTTCCCAAAAGTCCAAAGTAATTCTCAATAACTAGACTGACATATAATTGTTTTCTTGGGTAGTGTGCAAAATTTCAGATTTTTCTGTAAAGGAGTTGCTGAAATATAAGCAATCAAAAAGTGCAAAAATCGCAAAAAAAAAGAAAAAAAAATGCACTGCAGAAGCTCCTAGAGAAGAAACTACTGCGTTTAGAAAGCTCAAAATTTAATCTTAACTCCTTCTCGTTAGTGATGGTTGTTGTTGTAATATAATCAGCCGATAGTAACATTGAATGGGGCAAAAGTTATTCGATATTCTATCAAATATTTGACAAATTTTTAAAACAAAATTGTATTTGAAGCTTTGGAGAAAACCCTCTCGCTAGATACTGGTGTTTCAATCACGCATGTCTTTCGCCTTGAATTTATATAGTTGCGGACCCACATGAAAAACGAATTCATTTTTCTCTTAAAAACTAATGGATTTTGTTTTCTTTCTACTATCGATGCGTGCAAATACTGCAAAAGAGAGGACTTGGGTCTAATTATTCCGTCATTATTAGAATGCCCCTCATTCGATATACTTTACTGTACGAAAACAATTCGATAGTATCGACATTACAATGCAATTGCCCATTAGGTTGCGAGCAAACACATATAGAAAATGGCAGAAATACAAATCGAAAGCAAAGGACGTCGTATTTTTGCGAATTTCGAAAAGGAGATACTACTATACTTAAAGAGTTTGTTGGAATTATTTTAAGACATTATTTTGCGCTTGCCCCGGCACATTTTTCTGCTGGGTAAAACCTTTTCTCAAACGCTCAGCCGGCTGAGACAATACTACAAAATAAAATGACTAGTGTTATTTTTTCCAAGCAGAAAGAGACTTTCTCTCCCTGGAAAGAATTATGTAAGGAATATAATAGTACTCAAGAGGCCGGATGGCCGAGCGGTCAATATGGCAGCCTACCACCTTGGGAGACCCGGAATCGAATTCGGACGGGTCGAAAAAAACCCCAGAAAATTTCCTTTGGAGTTTCAAGTTCTGCGTTGCGCTAGCACCACACCGGCAATATAGAGTCACAGACGGGGCCAAAATTTAAATTTTCTTTCTATAATGATGAATTTATAAAAGATTGGTTTGGGACCCCTATAGACGAATCCCAGGCAATTGTTCTTGTTGCCCGTGTGATAACGCGACACTGTCAAGGTGCCAGGCTAAGGAAGAATAAACAATAGTAGGATTGTTATAAAAATTTTAAAAAAATTCTTGAAAAAAGAGACACCAAAAAAAAGCTGTTTAAAATAGGCGAAATATCTTTAATGTTGCGGATTTTCAAAGAAACGGATTGATTGGGAGAAAGATTTCATTGGAAGTCATAAAATAGCTCTTAGAAAACTGAAATAGTAACGTCCAACATAATCAAGTATTAAGGTACTTTATAAATAATGATTGTTTCCGTGATGCGAAAATATCTTATCATTCCCATTTGAAGTTATCGTGAATTTATTGTAGGCCATAACGAAAATAAAGCATGAAGCTTACAATCGTTTAGAATTAACGAATTACAAGTCCCTATTATTACTTCGCAATAATAAGAGATGGAACTGACTCATTCCCTCACTTGAAAGAATAAGGTGTATTGTTTCTAATGCAAGGTTCTTTCATACCAAATCTTAATATCGTCACATTAATTCAAATTTACATAAAAATCGACGAAAAAAAGCTAATTAATAAAAACGACTTTTATTAAATAATGAATTTCACTAAATTTATAGGATTATTTTTAAAACCCGATAACACTGATGTCGATTAATCGGATCGTAACGAACTAGACGACAATAGATGCAAACCGAAGCGACGCGTATAGATTTGTTCTGAAATTATTATTAAATACAGTATATAAAAATATTGATATAATATAATTAATTTATTTGAAATTTTAATAAATAAAAATCAATTATAAATCTAAAAGGCGATTACATACGGAAATATTATTTTTTAATCAATTACATGTGTAATAAATGAGAACACGTTTTTTTATGTATTTTAAGTAACACTATTAAATTTCAAATTGTGACATTAAAGCATTCTTCGCCCATAGAAAAAAAATAAACAATCCTATAAAATATTTTAAGTTTAATTATTAATTTACATGTCTTTGATGTCTTATATTTAATTTTTGAATAGAAAACTTAAACTAGAATTTGGAAAAATGGTAAGTAAATTTACAGTATGAAAGTCATTTTGAAAAGAAAATTTATTAATATTATATTATTAATTCATTGAATATATAAGAAAAATGTCCTAATAATAGATACTTTTCATAATAAACTGTTTTATATTCAACACATCAATATAATATCATTAATAGAATGGAACAAAGAATGTATATTGAAAACAATAAGTCAGTATAATAAAATACATCTACATTTATGTATTGATACACAGTACATTATCATTACATATTGATAAACAAAAAATTATCTTAAAATTGTTTAATAATAGATCATTCAACTTAATGATTGATTAATCATCTGTTAACTTTAAATCTTGTAATTAAAATACATTACAATTGTTCTAATTGCAAATTATATGCATGCGTAACAAATTTCGTATTGTTTATTTAAATAATGTGATGTAAATATTAAAATCAATATAAATGTTAAATTTTATTAATTCCTTTATTTTTATTACCGTTGCCTTTGATTTTACGTTAACAGATTAAAAAGATATAAATTATTTACGTTAAATAAGCAATTAGGGTATTAGTAGTAGTGATGAGTGATTCACTCTTTTAAATCTATTCGAGTTGTTATAAATTGTTTCGGTAAAGAAGATTTTGAGTAACTTTTAAAAATTTATATTGACTTGCAGAATATGATTTTAAACTTTTTGATATCAGAATTGTATAAACTGATTGATTTTTGCTTTTATGTAAGCTTCGTGCAAGAATAGATTACGTTCGGTACAGTACATACTAGGTGATAATTAAATTTGATGACTGTTGTATTATTTACATTATCAAATCTTTTGATATGAAAATATTTTTACTTTCATTGTCGTGCCACATTATCTTTTAATATTAATGTTTTCATATATTTTTATTTTATGAATGTTGAATGTGATGACTTGATTTAATTGCTATTCTTTTATTTTAATTGTTTTATGATAACATATTGTTCTGTTATATTGCTTTTACAACAAGACTGATAAAGAAAATCAATTGCTAAACTTAAAAAAAATTGATTATAAACAAATCTGTCACTTTAAATTAGAGCTTAAAATAGAAACTTTAATAATATAAAATTTTGAATAATTTTATATACAGTATTTCATGTTTTACAGTTTATATAAAATCATAACACTATTATATAATAAAATTTTATATTTATTTATTAATAATTGTTTTTATTGAAATAATAAAAAGAGATTTCTAATTTGATAAGTTTTAATGAAAATTTCTATTGTAATCAATTGCATAATTGACCAGAAGTGAGGTATCTAGATTTAACTTTAACAACTTAAAATATTTAAGTAAAATCATAAGTGAAAATGCTAATCATTATCATTCATTCATTCTCTGATTGTGTTACAAATTGATAATATTCATGGTGGTTAACATTGAGAAATATAATTCCATATATGTTGAAATCTTCCTAAAAATCAATCCTAAAATATATTGATATAAATCTTCTTAATAGCTATATGTTATTTGCTATAAATTTTAAGGATTTATCACATCACAGTTTTTAATTGGAAAGCTCACTGAGATTTCTAATTGAAAACTGTGGTGTGATAAGCCTCTGTTTTAAATCTTGGTGCCGCTACAAGACTTTTAAAACAGGGGCTTAAAGAACATAAGTATTCTATTACTAAAAACATGGACAGCACCATCCTTGCAGCCTTCGCTAAACATCAAGATATTAATGTACATTGGGACAAAGCATCCATAATTAGGACAGCCACCAACAAACAAGTACTTAAACATATTGAAAAACTTGAAATTTACAAGGCCCATATTAACAAAGGATGCATCAACCATAGAGATGCAGAAAGTCTATCTTTCGCATGGAAATTTTTTTACCATGACGATTAATTTTCTTAATACTTTATTTAATTTAATTATTTACCACGATTAATTTTCTTAATATTTTATCGTAATTTAATTTTGTTTTTACGTTTTATTTTATTTTTATTTTGTTGTAATTAATTTTCAATTTTTAAACCGTTGTATTGCTTGCATTCTATTTTACGTTCGTTTTTGTTTTAAAGTGGCTTAACTGAAGAAGACTATTAAATATAGTCGAAAACATTTTTATCTTATTAAATACTTTGTTGCTGGAAATACTAAGGTGTTTGATTATTTTAAATATATTAAACTCCTATCATTATTTGCCAGAAAGCTAAACATCACAGGCTAGTTGAAAAGGAAGAATTTATAAGATTGAAAAGTTTTAATTGTACATTGTAGTAATCTTAAAAAAAGTATTTTTTTCCTCTCTCTATTTATTGTTAATGGACATATCTCTAGTTCTAATTGAATTAATTTATGTGTCTAATCTAATACATTTGTACTAGAAAATGTATAACTAATAATTCAGTATTTTAGTTAATATTTATAATTATTAAATCTTTTAAATCTGTGTTATAGACAATTAAAAAATTTTTAAATTTTATTATATTTTATTGTAATAACTATTTTAATCTTTTTTATTAGATCATTAAAATGATAATGGTAATGAAGATTGCTTTGATCAAAGACCATTATAATGAATCTAAAAATTCTAAAAATTTGGCTTCACAAGTTTGAAAGGATGTTAAAAGCAAATGAAGAATTTATTATTAAGATTATGAGAGAAATTGATGATTTATAAGGTAAGTGCATAATTCAAAACATTAATTGAACAGTTTTATCTTACATATACTGTTAAAAACATTAGTAAAAGCAAGTAAAAATCAACAAAAACTTTTATTAGTATACTACTAATTTGCAATGGAATGAATAATCCAATAAAAATATTAAAAAATTCTGCTGTGGTGCTATTGATGTATATGCAGATTTTTCCTGCATGGTCAAAATAAAAAAGTACTTATAAAATAATTAATAAACAAAATGATTAGTTTTTATATTGATAGGTTGAATTATATTGGAATTAAATATGAATTGAACTTAAATTGAGAAAAACATAATACAGTGGTACCTTGTACTTTGAATGCTTCAGAGTTTGAATTCTAAATCCAATAAAAATTTACTTCATAGTTTGAGCAATGTTTTGAAGTTCAAACTGTATACACACTGAAAAAATGTTGCTAGAAGCATAAACTGAATATGTTATATTATGGATTGATATTCATGCCAAATATTGTATAGTAGGATGGAGAGTTCACTGAGTTCAGCATTATAAGTGCTTTTTGATTGCAAGTACTTTCAACAAATTTATAATCGTCATTGTCAAGCAAATAAATACTTGTTCTTAACAGTTTTACCAAATATTTTAATTTGAAAATATGTGTTCTGTTCTTCTCGGTATATTCTGTATGTTCCTTTAAAATATTTATTTGCCTGACAATGACAATTATAAATTTGTCGAAAGTACTCGTGATAAAAAACACTTATAATGCTGAACTCAGTGAACTCTCCATCCTATTACTGAATATGTTATGTGTTCATGTTACACTCTCATGTTTTCAGTGCTTTTTTCACTTTATTTTTGGTATGTTTTATTATACATATTGTGTGTAATTTGTTGATTTTTAACAATTTCTTTCTGCAATTTTTCTTTGTCGACACCTTTTGGCATCCTGTGTGTTTTGTATCCTTTAGTTCAAAATTTTCCCAATGGAACTTTTTAAACCACATTTGACACATTACACATTTTTTTACTGTTTATATAGTGTTATATCCTTACCAAAACCTATAAAGCATGATATGTCTGATATACTTTTAATCTGAAGGCATTTTAACTTGATTTTATTTGAACAAAATGTGAAGTAAAAAGTTTAAAATAAGCTTCTAAACAAAGAATACAATCTCACATTAGCAATAACATATTAAACTGTTATAATTAAATTACACATCTATGTTAAATAATGACAGCTGTTAAAAATATGCAAAAACTTTCTGTTCAACTCAATATAATCTTACTTATTAACCATGGCATCTGAGAAGTGTGTTGAAGCAATGAATTCTAAGAGGATAATTATAATCTCGACAATTGAGGTGAAAAAGGAACTTATCGCAAAGCATGAAAGCTGTATGTGTTGTGGATCTGGCAGCCATGTTTAAGATTCCAAAGTTGACAGTGTGTGACCAGTAAATGTAATTTTCATTTTATTATCCAATATTTACTTATTTTATTTATTATTTTCTTATTTTTATTTATTATTAGAGCATTTAATTGTGTTATTTTTTATCTTAAAACAGCAAATACACATAATTTAAGTTTATTGAAATTGTTATTGTTTAAGATCTGGAAATGGATTAATTCACTTTCTATTATTTCTTATTGGAAAAAGTGTTTCAGACTTTAAACGATTCAGAGTTTGAATGGCCTCCTGGAATTAATTAAATTCGATGTATAAGGTCCCACTGTACATTATTTCTGTTTTGTGCTTATGGCTGGTTCTGTAGGTGTATAGTGTGTGTATGCCAAAAGTACACATTAAAGAATAAAATTATAATATAATTTAATATTACTGCTGATCACTGTATTAAAATATATAGTGGTTAGCAATGAAATAGTGAATGTGAGTTGAACAGTGTTAATAAATAATAATGCATTCTCTAAAGGCCCATTCACAATGAAATTAAATATAAAAATAACATGGTAAGCATTACCATAAAAAGTCCTAGCTAACATATATCAGGAAATTTCCTGCTCCATGAATAACAGGATTGCATACAGATCTCCTGTTTTTTCGTGTATCAGAAATGATAACATCCTGATAGAGAGGAGCTACTTGCCAGGGATCTATACTATTCCTATACAAGATCAAAGGGTGAACTGTCTGTGCAAGTTTATTAGAACCACTGCTCAGGCTCTGAACAAGAGGATTAAGGAACATCAATATACAATTCAGAAGAGGCTTTCCACAACCACGCTGGCTACTTTTGCTGATGATAGTGACTTTCAGGTTAAATTTGATAATGCCCAAATCTTACACCATAGTAATGACCCAGTCAGCATGAAGTATCTTGAACGAATAATAGAAATAATCAAGGCATTCAAAAGGGATGTGATGATTAATTACAAAGAGATAGACTCTCTTTTAACTGCATAGAGGGCATTCTATGACCTCACATAAGTATTGCATTAAGGCATATGTGCTTTATTTAGTATTTTGTAAAACCTTTTATTTTATTTCTTAAATTGTTATATATTGTAATATCTGGTTTGAAACATGATGTTAATGATGAAATATACAGTACATGTGCATTTCACAATGATTTCAGCTTTTAAATTTGTATGACATTCTATTTTTAGAATATGCATTCATTTATTTATATCTGTGTTCTTCTACCTCAAGATAACCATTTAAAATGGAAGCAAATGTTTGTTTTGTTTTAATATATTAATTTTTTGTTGATTTATTGATGTTTAAGTGTTGTTGTTTATTATTTATCTAAATTACATCAGTAGTATTGTATAGACTGTATTACTGTAAAAATTAAGAAAGTCATATCAACATTCACAATGGGCACATAAATAAGTTTGGTAACCACAGAAAAACATGTGCTTCTTTCATACTTCAAAAAAGTTGATGCTTGCATGATGATGGATGATATAGCTCTGCACTTTATAGTTATAAATAATGCTGAAGTATATGTGCTAGATGTTTTGCATCAGAAAACTTAAAATGTAAGCACAGATGAAGTTGGATTCATCTGTTGAAACAGGGAAGAATTCAACAATTGGGACTTCCATACTCTCTGATTGTCTTGTTTTAAACCATGTAAATAAAAGCATGAACATTTTGAGTTTGCAAACTTCCTCGTTAATGTCTTAAGATTAAGTTTAAGGTTAGTTATATAATTCATTGTGAATAATTTCATTAAATAATATAGGTACAAGGTTTTGTTTTATTTTTCTTCTGAATAGGTTGAATAGGTTTTTATTCCTGTATCATTAATCTTAAAATGATATTTACATTGTTGATTGAACCAAAAGGAAAACGAGAGAAATGCACATGATTCTTGTGTATTTCTCTGTTTATTTAACCAAAAGGAAATTTAAATAAACATGCATGATTCATGCACATTTATTTAAATTTCATTATTAATTTTCTTTCTCCTATCCTCTAGTTATTGTGTTTCCCTTCTTGTTCTATTATATTTGTTCTATTTCTCTCTGTATTATATTTAAATTTCATTGTTAATTTAAATATTCACCCAACAATAAAGTCTCTTGTCGACCATTTTTAACATTTTCATGGCAAAAATTTGTTACTACCAAGTTAGCACTGACAAGTGAGCATTGAAGGGAGAAATATGTGGACGGATAATGGATGCATAAATCATAAGTGTTTTGAATAAAGTTACAATAAAAGGAAGGTCATAAATTTAATTTTTTTTGTGGACTGCTACATAAATATTTTAAAATGTAATGTTACCAATAGCTATCCACTAGTGTTCTTCTTTTCAAAGCTGTTTTCCAATAAGTCCAGTTGTGGTTTCAGTGACAAATTAAGAAACACAATGCACTGTTTCAACAATACAAGTATTTATTATTCAATAGTTTATTAAAAATTACAATAATAAAATATTTGCTTCCACACCTTTTCTCTTGCCTACCATGTTAGCCCCATTGTCATAAGCTTGTCCACGGCAATCATTCAAAGAAACATTTAAAGTTTTAAGTTGTTACACAATTCCTCTGATAAATCAAACCCTGTAATTTTCCAGGAAAAAAACCAATAAAATAATCATTAATTTCAACTTTATTTTGTTTGTTTGTTTGTCAGGCATTTCTACAATTTGAACAATGAGAGTCAATTGTTCAATACAACTTTTATCAATAGTACAGTTTAACTGTATTGCATAATATTTACTTTTTTTATTATTTCATTTTTAACTTTGTTTGCCAACAGATTAATTATCTCATTTTGAATTTTCCAACTTAAATAATGATCATTTGTTTCTTTATCTTTGATATGTCTTATATGTTCTGCCATTCTTGTATCAAATTTTGAAATTAATTCAATTAAACCTAAAAATTTACCATTATTTTTTGTAAAAATTGTCTGATTTGTTCCACGAAGTGCATCGTTGCTTTTAGCTAAATATTGTATCCAAAATATAATCCTTCTAAGAACTTCACACCAATGTTCTGCATCTGAATTTAATTGTCTTTGATGAAAATCGTCAATTGTTTGTTCTTTTTGCAACCTTTTTTAGCTCCATAAAATCTTTAAGTGATTTTCTGTGTGGCAACGATAATTCGTGTTCATTTAAGCGAGTTCCAAGGTGCTTCCAGTCAGAAACACCTTCATTTACTAAAGCTAAAGATGATCTTGACAATTGGTTAGGACATAAATAGCAGTAAAAACAAAATACCTTATCTTTTAGTTTTGAATAGAGAATAGAGAAGCCAGTTTCTGCAATATTTTTCTCCATTTAAATGTACGTTTGTATAATAAGATACATTAAATTTTCTACCTAGTTCATCTATGGGAAAATCGTAATTTGTTATTTGAACAATGTTTTTATTAATTAATTAATCAATCTGATTTTCTCAGAAGGGTGTGATGGCTTTGTTCCAGGATTGTCTTCCAGTATGGTTGATAATTCTTTAATTTCCTCATTTGCACTAAGAAAAAAATCTTCTTGACCTTCTTCATCATTTATAGCTCCATCTTCATGCAGTAATGAAGGTAATTCTTTGTATGTAATTTGTAACTCTTCTTCATTTTGTACACTAGTGCTAGTTATAGCCAGAATGTTCTCTTTGTTATCAGTTTTAAAATATTTTAAAAGGCTATCTGTTTAATGACTTTCTAAATCTTTTTTATTTTCAGTATGTTTTCTTTTCTGGTTATCACTTAAATAATTTCTATTTTTATCATGATCTTTATTCATACTCATTGCTTATGTTCTAAATCCTAGAAAAAATAAAAAATAATATAATAATTGTGTCAGTAAAGTTCCAATCCAAAGTTTTAAAGTTATTATCACTATAACAATGTTTTTCTCTTCTGTTTTACAGTAACGGAGTGCTGAACAAAGTTAAATTAAAACACCTTAGTAAATTATTTGAACAAATTGAACTTAATTGAACAAATTTATGCTGCATAAATTTGCAGCATAGATTTGTTCAATTAAAACATTTATTAGCTTACAGTATGTTCAAGTGTATAAATGTTCTATGCTAACTATACCAACCAATTACAAACATATGCCAACTTACAATTTATATTACAAAAACTATTTTTTCTTTATTATTATTTTGATTATTTTTAAGGTAATTATTATTTTGTAAAAATAGCTACTAATAGAACACTAATAAACACAAATATATTTGACTTTATACATTAAACAGTTATTCTTTTTGTAGATCATAAAATCAATTAGTAGCAAAGTTGTATCAAGAAATCAAAATTCATGAGATTTTTCCAGTGTATCTTACAATTATACTTTAAAATTAAGTTTTACGTTGAAATACAAGTTGTNAATATATTTGACTTTATACATTAAACAGTTATTCTTTTTGTAGATCATAAAATCAATTAGTAGCAAAGTTGTATCAAGAAATCAAAATTCATGAGATTTTTCCAGTGTATCTTACAATTATACTTTAAAATTAAGTTTTACATTGAAATACAAGTTGTTACATTTTAATTATAAAACATTATTATGCTGCATCCTCTTAAGCGTGGGGCCTGGGGCAGTTGCCCCAGTTGCCTGACCCTAGGAGTGGCTCTGTTCCCAAGTTTCATACATTTGCAGACTACAGTTACTGCAAATTCTCTCAGGGTCTATTATTAGTCTACTGTTATACATCAAAATATAATTTTGACCACATCTCAGCTGATTATCATTTATCAAATTGTCATTTTATATGATAAGTTATGTCCATAAACAAATAATCTTCACAAATGTAAGTTGTTTTAAAAATACAATATAATTGAAAATGCTTTTTCTTTTCCAATAAAGACCAATCTTGTTTGCTCTGTTTTCAACACACTTTTATAATTAATGTCTGATAACTTTCGATTAAATGAGGATTTTGGGACAATCGTAGAAATGAGAAACCATGTTGATATAACATTTTTCAATGCCAATGTCCAGTTATATGTATAATTATCTGTCATTAAACAAAAATTATACAGTTTGTTATACGCTACTTTAACATAACTGTTATCATGTAGTTTCAACAGTCTAATCCAGAAAGAAACTATTGCTTTTGTTATTAATACCTATATTCTAGAAACACCGAACTCCAATTGTAACATATAAGCTGGGATTTTATGGTATAACAAAAATCCTTGGAAGATATAAGGCAAGAATAATTTCCATTTTACCGTGATAAGTAATTGCTTATACAGGAGCAACATAAAGTAGTACAGATGAAATCATTAAGTGAAATAATTTTATATAAATATGAACAGAATTAATTTTAGCTTTTGAAAGAATAGGCCACATAGAACCCAGTGCCATTTAGCCTTACAAATACTATAATTTTTAGCTGTAAAAACTGTCTTGAAGACAAAAATAATACTCCCAGGTATACATAATTCAAAACAACTTGTATAGGCTGATTATTAAAAGACCATCTCTTTTGGTGATAGTCTGTCACCTTTCTTGAACACCATCCCTTTTCTTTTCGAAACATTTATAGTTAATCCATAGTCACAACAGAATTCCTGTAGAATATTGTTATTGTTGTAGAATATTCCACAACAGAATTTAAATACAGTTTTAAGTTACATAAGTTAAACTGTATTTAATAATCCTTTTTTTAAGATTTGTAATTTTAAATATGTGGTTTTTAATTTTATATAGAATGGTGTATTCACATAATATTATAATAATGGTTATTCTGAAAGTGATTTATATATATTTTGATGTAATTAACCGCAAGGAAACTGTAAGATGGATACTTTATTGTTGGGATTTTTAAAGTATTGTAATTTTATAAATCTTGTTTTTACCAACCTTGTTGATGTAAAACTGCTGAAGAGGGACCTTGAGATCCGTAACACAAATATTTGTATGTACAGGTGAAATACCAGGTAAAAAATAAAGATTTGTTTTTTCTGAATAAGAACTCCTCCTTTTGCAAAAATCGGAACACCAGTATAATAAGTCCTAATAATACAATAAGTCCTTAGTAGACAATAATATAATAAAATAACATCATCAAATGTTTGAAACATTCCAATTTGGAATTACAGAATTTTGCAGTTTAAAACCTGAGGCAGATTTATAAAATAAACCAAAAATGTTTGTTCCTTAAACCTTTTGCTGAAAGTATAAAATTTTGTTCCAGTATTTCCAGTTTTTAGAAGTAAATTAACAGAAAAAGTTTTTTGCTAACTTACTATTGATAAATTCCATAATTTGTAAAACTTTTTACTTCAAAAAGTAAGCATTTTTTATCATTAATAAATTTTTTCACCATTTTCATTTTTGACCGTATTTCACTCCTTAATGAAAATATTTCAGCAGTTTCCACAATTTCATTATATTGGCATTTTACTGTATTAGATAAAATCATGATTTAAATCAAAATAAAAAGATTTTCAAATTAAGAATGTCTTTTTTTTTTTTTAACACATAAGTGAGTTGCCAAGTAAATACAAACATCGCTAAACCCGATATATAATATAGCTAAATACCAACCGAATGCCGATAGCCCGATAGATTTTCGGCATTCGGTTGCCAAGTAAATGTTGTCACTGTAAATATTTAAAAAATTTCAATTTATATTTTGAATACTGTAATGGATATAACATATATTTATATCTTTAGCTTTGTTATAAACAAATAGAAATTTGTAAAATAGTAGTGAATTAATTTATTAAGACATAATTATCTTTAATTCCAATTTTTGTTTATACAGGTTTTAGATAATGGAAGAAGATAGTCTACAAAATATTCAAAGTGAAACTCTTTCATCAAATCCTACTAGCATTGCCTATGAAAAATTTCTTCCAGTATTAGTGCAATGCTTTGCAGTGATTTTTCTTGGATATGTTTCTGGAAGATTTGGAATAATGACATCCACAGAATCCAAAGGACTGGGTATATTTGTCAGATATTTCTGTCTACCATCACTTATATTTAATACTTTAATGAAAATAGAATTTTCAAATGTAAACTGGAGATTTTTAGCTTGTATTTTTATTGCAAAGTTATGCATATTTATTATTGTAATAATTATTACATTAATCCTCACCAAGCCAACAAATGTAGGGAAAGCTGGTCTTTATGCAATATTTTCTACTCAAAGCAATGATTTTGCTCTTGGTTACCCATTATTGTTAACTTTGTATTCCAAATGGCATCCTGAATATTCTCAATATTTATATCTTATAGCTCCAATGCAGTTAGCACTTTTAAATCCATTTGCTTACATATTAATGAATATACAGCAGACTAAAGAAAATGATCAGAATAATAAAGTTCAGAGTTGTTGGTTTAAAGCTTATTTTGGTTTTGCTGCAAATCCTATTATTGTTATGACATTTCTTGGAATTTTTGGAAATATTTTATTTCACCATAAATTACCACTTATCATTTCTCAGCTTCTAGATGTTTTTGGTACTGCATATCCAGCTTGTGCTCTCTTTCTTCTTGGACATAATATAGTTGGAACATTTAAATTATTAAAAGGAATTACATTTATTGTTCCCATCTTGTTAATTTCTGCAAAAATTTTAATTCTTCCACTATTAATACGTGAGTTAGTGATACATTTAGCTAATGATGGTACTACAGAAGAAAATAAAGATTTAAGTAATTTTGGATTTCTCTATGGAACATTTCCAACTGCACCAACTGTTTTTATATTTGCTACACAATATGAAATGTCCACAGAAATAGTTGCACCAGGTATGGTTGCATGTACAATGCTCTCTGCACCTTTAATGTTTGTATCAGCTAGCATGACAACACTACAAATGTCAAATTTATCCAGTTTTCATAATGATTTAATTAGTACATTGACATGCACATCTATACTTGGATTTATGTGTAGTTGTTGGGTATTTATTATTTTTATTATTGGAAAAAAATGGAAATTTGTAATACATAAAATTACTTTTCTTTTGATTTTCTCTCAAATTTTAGTTTCTTTGGGAGGAATTCTGTGGTCATTTATTAATGTAAAGCATCATTGGGCATTTTATGTTCAGTATGTATTATCTGCAGGAGGAATATTTTCTTCTCGAATATGGACTTCACTATTGGCTCTTGCATTAGCCTTATTACATTGGAGAAGTTTGTGTTTTGTTTATAGAATTTACAAATATATGATATATTTTGGTTTTATTGCAACCATAATGGTTGTTACTATTTTAGCTATAAAAATGAGGAATTTTCTGCCAGACAAAACAAAGATTGATCCAAGTTTTCAGTTTGGTGAAGCACAAGCATCTGTTGCATTTGTTGTTATATTTTTTAGTTTGGCTGTAACTATTATATCTCTAATAATTCAGCAGCATTATTCATCTAAATCTCTTGCTTTTCATTTATGTATAAATGAAGAATCTGAATCAAAAACAGATGTACTTAAAAAGCATCCTTATGAAGTTGATGAAACAGTTTTAAAGACATTAAATAAATCTGTAGGTCAAGGAGAGGAATTGGAAGAAATTGAGGATTTAATTTCAGTAAATGAAATAGATGAATCTGAAATATTGTTAAATAAATACCAGTACTCTCCGTTGTGTGGAAATCATTTTAGATGTTCATCGGAACAAAGAAGGAAGTGCAGTGTTTTAATTAAAAATCATTCTGTATCGTTTGAAAAATTTGATTCGGAGACAGATTTAATGAAACAAGAAAATGATTATGATCAAATATTAAGATGTATCATTCTTCTTCTTCTGCTATGTATATCATTGATTGTAGGCTTAGCCATTTGCTTATGGAAACTTTTTTTAGAAGCAACAACAGGTATATATGTAGAATTAGAATTTCTAGATGTTATACTTAATTATGGTCAAGGTATCATTACATTTTTTGTGTTTGGATTAGATGCAGAAGTTGTTGTGCAACCCTGTATACAAATATGGAATTATATTAAAAAAGATTATCATTTAAATTTAGGTAAAACTGATTTATCATCATTTGAAACAGATCAGGTTTGTGAACAATTTATAATTTATCATAGAGATAAATGTATTAAAGAATTAGAAACCAATAAAAGAATAGGAAATGATTTATACAGTTCAGTTTTTACTGGACAAAAATTAGTTGATTGGCTGTTAGCTGTAGGATTAGCAAAAGACAGAAGAGAAGCAACAAATTATGGTCAGCATCTATTGTTAGGAAATGTTATTAGACACGTGAATGAAAAACATTTCTTTCATGACAATTTATATTTTTATACATTCTTTCCAAAAGATAGAAGTTAATGTTTCATGCTTAATTTAAAACTTGTTTGTTTATTTATTTAAAATTATATTTTATATTTAAATTTTGAACCTATCAAAAATTTGTAATGTAATAAATTATTTAAGTTTCATGGGTACAATATACAAAACTATTTTCATAAAAAATTTTTTTGCAACAGCAATACATTGCTAATAAAATTAATTACATTGAATTGCTGAAAGTAATGAATATTGTTTAAAATATTTCTTATGGTTATACATATGAAAAATATATTGTGAAAAATGGAGCTTGTAAATATTTTTATTAAATTTACCAAAGTTTCCACAATATTTAATGTTGTTAATTTGTTATATATTTGTATATAATGAGAAAAATTAAATATGTATTTTATGTTGTTGTTAAATTTTATTGTATGGAAAAAGTTGTTTAATTTTCTGTAAAATTGAATTGTTAAAATAAAGCAGCATTAAACAAAATTAAAAAATTTCCATTTTAAAAAATACACATATGCATTTCTTCTATATTTTCTTCTATAGAAAACAATAGAAACATTTTATTTCAATTTAAATAATGAATATAATGAATGATTTTAAAAATAATTATTTTATATTATATGAAAATATCTTTAATAATAATTATTATTATTACTCTCTATAATTTTAATTTAACAATTTTAAAAAAATCTGTCTTAATACAGAAAGAAATCTATATTTTATGGCATTATTAAGCAGTAATAAATTTTTAATAAATTTATGAACTTAATTTGCAGAAATGTTAATATACAAATTAAAGCCATAAATTTTTATTATTATTTTTAAGTTGTCCTCTGACATTATTACAGAGTGAAAATTTTTTTATGTAGAACTATAAAATTGGTTTGATATATTAATATTTATAATATAAAATTTTAATTTCGATATTTATAAAAGTATTTAATGGGACCCTCATTATTATTTTTAATTACTATATTTCATAATAATTCAAATAAACGAAATAAAATTTAAAAATTTTTAATGGTTGAATTAAATGGTAATAATAATAATAATAATAATGTGATTGTTGCATAATTAGAATTTTAAGTAAGAAAACCCATTTAAAAATGTATAAGAATGTTATTAATTATGACGCTAACCTATATTTCAAACTAAAATTAAAACAATTCTCCTTAAACCACGTGTACAAAAATCACGTGTTCCTGGAAAAGTAAACATTATCCTGCAACGAAGAAATAATTGCGTCATGCGTATAGCTTGTGTAGAAAATTAAAAACGAATACGATACAAAACAGACGAGAGTTTTAAACATTTAAATTACCGAGAGTTAATTCTATTCACCGTATACCTTTATAAATCCCAACAGTTTGTAGAAATATAATGGACCAATAACGTTAGTCGGAGTGACGTCACTTATCCACTGCCGATCGTCCGACAAACACGTTTGTTTTGAAACGAAGATAGTATTTGTTTAGTCTTTTAAAAATTAATTATGGAGTCTTTGAGGGAACAAGTCATGATTAATCAGTTCGTATTAGCTGCCGGTTGTGCTAGAGAACAGGCAAAACAATTATTACAAGCAGCTCATTGGCAATTTGAGGTAATTAAAACGTTTCTTAAAAATTTTCATATGTGTTAGTTTGAACGTAACACGATATTAAATAGTATTTATTAAGAGTTTATTCTATTGGTTAGGTCAATTCAAATTTATTCACAATGACCAATGTTACGTTGTATTATAAAAGATTTCAAATGATAGATTAGGTTATGTCGTAATGTAAACATGGCGATGTTTACGTTGTTTACTTTTATAAAACGATCAATTTTCTAGCTTTACGAGTTATAACGCTAAACGATATTCATTCTCTGCTTGTTTATTTTTCTTTCAGACTGCATTAAGTATATTTTTTCAAGAAGCAACAGTAACAAATTGCCATCAACCTAACAACCGTTTTAATGCTGTAAGTTTCTTCAATAAATCAATTATTTTTATTCATTAATTATTATAATAAATTTAAAATTTTGAAGCAGATTCTTATGTAATCAAGTTTATATTATAATATATTTAATGAATACATTTAATAAATAAATAATAATTTATATATGTATTTGTTTATCAATTAACATTTTATATTTATAAAATTAACAAATGATATGCAAGAAAATTGTCTTAAAACATTTGTTTTATTGTTCTTAGAAGTAGAAAAACAAGTTATGTACATTAGAATTGCACAATTGATAAGTAAAATTTCCTGTTTTTACTTTGAAGGAGGTGATGGAGTTCAATATCTCTCCCCTTTATAACTGGTTAGTAATGTAATTTGCCCTGGTGAAATTCAACTATAGGTTTAAACTTATCATTTGCTAAAAATATTTAGTTACGACTTGATAAATATATCTATGTCACAAAAAATTATCATTTTAAATATTTGCTTTCAAATCATCGTTTATANTATAGGTCAGAGAAATTTATATTTTTCTTTTTCAAATTATTATTGTAATTTTTATACAGTATTATATAAATATAAATATATATACAGTGTATACTGTATAATCTATATTTTTATAAACTTAATTATTTTAGGTAAATGTTTTGTCTTGATTAATTTTTTAAACAAACTTATTCGGGAAGAAAACAATGTTCCTTTTTAATTATTAAATATTCTTAAATAATAATTTATATATGTATTTGTTTATCAATTAACATTTTATATTTATAAAATTAACAAATGATATGCAAGAAAATTGTCTTAAAACATTTGTTTTATTGTTCTTAGAAGTAGAAAAACAAGTTATGTACATTAGAATTGCACAATTGATAAGTAAAATTTCCTGTTTTTACTTTGAAGGAGGTGATGGAGTTCAATATCTCTCCCCTTTATAACTGGTTAGTAATGTAATTTGCCCTGGTGAAATTCAACTATAGGTTTAAACTTATCATTTGCTAAAAATATTTAGTTACGACTTGATAAATATATCTATGTCACAAAAAATTATCATTTTAAATATTTGCTTTCAAATCATCGTTTATAAGTTTTCCGGATACTTTAAAATTACTCGAGAAAATTTTATTGTAAATTCGATTTTACTTTCTATTTAATTATTCGTTATTAACTTAAAATCTTTGTTTAATTAATTCGTATATAACATTTATCTTTATCATTGAAAAAATAATTATAATCAGATTAATGAATTGGGAATTTGAAAGGAACAATATTCCTGTTTTTTGAAACAAAAAATATCAACTGTGACCTATTTTAATTTTCCTTAAAAATATTTTTCATAGTTCTAGCTAAAAATGTATGATGTCATCATCTAAAGATGATGTCAGACTATTTCCTTTCAATAATTATTTTGTTTGTATAGTAGAATAACAATTCTCGTAAACATTTAAACGCATTAGCTGAATTCCAATAGAATTCTATTATTATTATTATTAATTAATTTTTTTAATTTAAATCTTATCAAGATTAACAGTTGACTATTTGAGGAATGTAAAATGTCTTTAGGGCAGAATTCTATAAAATTTGTAATCAAAACATTATTTACTTTAAATAATTTCAACAGATATCAAGTATCTATCTCTTGGCAATTTACCAATAATAATTATTTCCATATGTTGAATCTTTTAATAATATCAATGTATCTGTTTATGTTTGAAATTATTATTGATTTCATAAAGTATTCCTTAATTGAATATAAAATATATGTTCGATTTGAAATTCGAATGTAAATATGCTTATTCCGACGTCTTTTCCCGCTAACTATTGCTTTTGTTTTGACTCATTTATTTTGTCTGGTTAAAGGGTGTTCAGAACATATTTTATGAATGGATTTTAAAGGCATTTCTTAGAATAATGAAATAGATTTTTTTTTTTAAGGGGGATTTTTATTTTGACCCATTTTCATGTTTTCGATAATAGATTTTTTAACTTATATTTTTCATATTTTATAGCTGATAATAATTAAAAGAAATATATAAAGCCCGTTTCCATAGTAGACGGTTTGAAATATGTTTATTGGCCAATTGCCAAATTCGATAAGGGATAATTAATACCTTTCCAACCGAAATTTCGAAATGTGCTTATTAAAATTGTTATACAAATTTGATTTATTTAGGTCATTTAAATTTTGTAAAGTTCGTCGACCCCAGTTTTATGTATATAAAGGAACAATAACGAAATAAAAGATTAAATTAAAACGCCGAGTTCGCTTCCTGTCTTCTTCCATTGCCGATTCTGTTTATTCTGTAACCATGACAACGTAAGATGGCCGTTTGACGTCATTTCGTCTTTTTTTTTTCTATCTTTTATTTTTGGCGTCATTCTCGGTTAAAAACTAATTCGTTAAATCGATGTGTGTGTATATATTAGAAATAGATTAGGAGGTTCGGTTTGTTTTTTTTCTTTATCGATCACGCCTATTTTCCTTTTAATTTCGAGCGGCAAACAACGCGATAAATTTTTATTACGTGTAAAGCGCATTTTAGTTTAAAAAAAAAAGAAAATTTTGCCTCCGGTATCGGAAAAATGGGACATTGACCTCGGAAAAATACTACTTTTTACTATAGGTTTTGTTATTTCTAACTCGTTTTTATTGTTAAAAACTTCTCCTTTTCTAACTTCCTACTAAGTTGGAAAAACGTGCGCTTAATCTCATTTAAGCTTTTAAAAGTAAATCGCTATTTGTCGTGTAGTTGGAATCTCGATTTAAAAAAGTTTCAGGTTTTTGGCATTCGTTATCCTTTTTTTTTTATTCCTAAATATTATTTGGAGTAACCTTGAAAACTCTTTGGCGCCGTTTAGGTTGGAAAAAGACGATTGTGCAATCGGTTCAGTGGGCAAGGTCAACTCCTACTCTATCCGGCGATATTAACACTCACTGTATATAGACTTGCATCGTTAGTCACATTGTCGTTATTTTTTATTTTTTATTTTAAATTTACGTAATGTCAAAGCGTATAAAAGTATAAAGTCAGTTTGTTTTAAAATTTTAACGTTAATACTACAAATTCGTAAACGACAAACTTTTTTTTTTCCTTCTTGTTATTCTCATTATACAGACACAATACATTTTAATTCGGTACGGTTAAAAAATATCAATTCAAGTAGATTCTGTTGGAAAATAATAATTATATTATCTTGCGCAATGGCAGATTAAGTTCGCAATCTTGTTAAAATAGTTAACGCGGTTTTTTTAAATAACAAATTAGTGCAGACATTTTGAACATTTAAGGATAACAAATTAACTAAATCGAGTAGAACCTTTATCGTGTACTTTAACCGTTTTCAAACATACCGAAAGGGCATTCATTCGGCCGAAATGAAAAAATAATCCATTGTGATACCAGTTTGTCGATTCTAATTTTTTTGGGCTAAATGTTTTGTGCTTGTATCTCATTCATGCTAAACAAAGTCTGTTAAGAATTTAATTGATCGCTCCTTAATTCAGAGCAGACAGCTGTAATAATGTATTATCATTCTTATTTTTCAAATAAAGCAGATTTTGAGAAATTATGGCTGTAAATATTAAAACAATTATTTTTTTTTCTTTTCATTGTTTATTAAATTTTTGAGATATATATTGTAAACTAGAAAAATAAAAATTAAGAGTCTATAAATAACAATTTGTTTATGATTTTTATGTGCCAAGGTAAACAACTATCCTTAGTAGAATTAAAATTTCATTAATCATGGTTTTATCTTTATGTTTCTGTTATTTGATTTATTTGGTGTTATTATTCTCCCACCGTATTTAAAAATATTATAAGAAAAACGTTTGTTATTGAGAATATTTTTAAATGTTGAATACCATATGTTTAAAGTAGTTATGTTATATAATTTATAAAATATTGGATACGTGCACAAATATGGATTATTTTAAATGTAACACAAAATATTTATAGTTAGCATACAAATTTCTTCATTACTAATTTTTATGTTTCAGTAAAATAAATGATTGAAGTTCAAAATTTTTTATATCCATATTTTCTTTACAATTAATCTTAAAAGTAATAAATCAATCTAGTTTACATTTAAAATAAAAATGATACAATAAAGGCATTTCTGAATATTAAATATGACATTTATTGTATTTAACATGAAACATGATAAAAATTTGGATAAATTCCACATTTATTATAATATAGAAAAAAAATATTTTAGTAAGGTGCTTATTCCATATTTGCTATTATTTAATGAAATGTAATTGAAAGCATAGATATTGAAAGTATTTTTGGTAATATGTTTTTAATAAAAATTATCTGTTACTGAATACATTAATAAATAAACAATTTAAATGAACTTCCTTCACAGGAATTGATTTTATATTAATATTCATTATTAAATTTAAATGTTATGATTAATGAAATAAAATACATAGCAAACAATATATGATTTTTCTATAAATTTTTTTTTTTATTGAAATTTTTTAATATTAATTCATTTATCATTTTAAATATTAATCAGCAATTTTTAAATAATTATTGTTACTTTGGATTTTTTTAAATGGTAACAATATATTATTAAAATACAAGTTTTTATCTTTAGTGAATCAAGTTTTTCTTGAATTTTCAATCCTCTATTGAAGGTTTGATATAAATGTGTTCAGATATGTCTTTCAATACTTTATTTTCATATGAATACTAGCTACCAATAAATTCTTATAGGTTGAAAGGGATTCATTGTTAACAGGGTTGTCAACAGCCTGTTAATATAACAATAGGTTACTCCCAGGCCCATACAACGTTAAAATTGTATGGGGCCTGGGAGTAGAGCAGGTCTCTTTTATTTTTTAGCAAGCCCTTTAGCCATTGTTCTTTTAACAAATGAAATACATAGGATGTTTCTTTATTAATAAAAAGCAGTCATAAAGATATTTTCTATAAATAAAAACAACATTAAATTAGTACAGGTATGAATCACTATGAGTCCCTATGTTTTCTCTGGGCTTTGGGAAAAATCCCTAGCTCCCAGCTCTCTTCCTCCTTGACAGCCCTGATTGTTAATTACTTCATAATCATATTAATAATATGATTATTTTCTGACTTTCAGAAATAATTATTAAATTTATTGTAATTTAAATTTCTTTAAGTGCAAACCACACTTTTATTGCTGTAAATTAAAACTAATGTTGGTTGTTTCACAAGAGACTTTTTGATCTCATTCAGTTAAAGTCAACATTTTATTATCCTAAAATGGAAGATTAGAAACATTATCATTATTACACATTTGAAAATAAAAATAAGAGAGAAGAATAAATACTTCACCTTTGTTTTACGGTTATCATAGCATGCTATGTGCTTATAACTTCTTGACAAACATGGAGATTAAATTTAACAAAATTGAAATTGAAAAGTTATTTATAATGCTTATTTGGTCATATCTTAATAATTTAATGATATAAAATTAATTTTATAGTATTCATTGAAACCTTAAATGAAAACATAAAAGCATTAAAAAATTTTGCATAAATGAAGAGGTTGGAACAATAAGGTGCCTAAATCACATTTTTTAAATTTTGCACTGATTATCAAATACAATTGGCAATGAAGGTTGTGAGTCATCAGCAAAATATTCTAGATGTCAAACAACTAATGTCATCACAATTTAAAGTGACCACATTGCCAATTTGCAAATGTGTTTTAAATGTATACTCAGTGTCATAAGTGTTAAATGTATACTCAGTGTCACGACAATTAATTGAGGTTAAAGTGACATATTTTGACAGAGGAATGAGAGAATCTAGTTTAGATTTTGACTCTGATGACACTGTAAAAGATGGAGACTATTATTGTAGTGAAATTTCTAGCAACAGTGATTCACCTGCATAAAGAAATATAAATACAGGGTGTCTCAAAAATGTACTGACAAACTTTTAGTGGAGGTAGATAACATCTAAAGGAATGAGAATTGTATATATAACATTTTTTTAAACCCATAACTGGAAACGTCAAGGAAAAGTGGTAGTAGAGGTAGAAGATCTGAAAAGACACAAGACAGTGATTAATGGGAAACACTTATCAGACATAATGGCATACCAGTTCATAATCTTACAACAGATGCTAGAAGTTTTCACCATCAGAACATGATGAATGCTTGACACTGACGGAATATTGATTGCCAGACACGTTCGAACACACTGGGAGTTTCTTTGATTGTAGCAGCAGCACAGACGAATCTTGCCATGGGATCCATTTCAGACTTCACAGGTGAGTCATACATGATAGCTTTGAGGGCCCCCACAGAAAGAAATCAAGGCTTGATAAATCAGGTAAGCGTGGGGACCAGGGAACTGGTCCACCATGGCCAATCCATTGATGTGGGAAAGACCTGTTCAAATGCGCACAAACATCCATTCCATAATGGGGAGGTACCCCATCATGTTGGAACCACATATTGTGTCTCACATTTGCTGGAACATATTCATGTAAGGCTGATAGAACCTGTTCCAGAAAGATCAGATAGTTAGCGGCGTTAATGTGGGATGGTAAAAGGTACAGCCAGACTAAGCAGTCGTCCACCAAACCTGCCTACACATTAACTCCGAAGTGATGTGCTGCGTGGGTCCTCACACTGTGCGGGTATTCAGTCAGCATAAATGCACATTGTGCTGATTGAATATGCCATCCCAATTGAAAAAGGCCTCATCTGTGAACAAAACATAAGCTGGAAAATTTACATCTTGGGCACTTTGTTGCAGATACCAGTGCACAAAACCCACATGTGCAGGATGATCATCAGGAAGCAGTAACTGGACCCTTTGGAGATGAAAGGGGAGTAAGGACTCAGTGTGCAAAATACACCGTACACTACAACGAGACACTCCTAAGTCAGAGGCAATGCACGTATGCTGGTACTAGGATTGGTCTCTGAGGCATTCAATACACTTTCTTCCATAACGGGCAAACATGTCAAGCGTGGCCTGCCCTCACTAGTCTGCTACCTCTTAATTAATGAAATGACCCAATATTGCACAAATTTTGATGCACACGTGCAAACGAAATGTGGTGCAGTTGATGTCTGTCTGGGGAGCATTCTCAATAAATTTGTGCTGTGGCTTGTCCATTGCCCTCAGCTATTCCATAAACTAAGTTCATGTCTGCCAGTTTCCCACTCATATACCATTGCATGCTCATCATATGTTGACTACTGCACAAATCAGGAAATCCTAAATTTCCCCTCTAGTGCACAGATGAACAGCGCCACCTATTGACTTATGGTGACATTTCCGGTTATGGGTTCCTATGTAATTATCATTTCTTTAGATGTTATCTACTTCCCCTGAAAGTTTGTTGGTACATTTTTGAGATACTCTGAATATTATTAGGGTTATCATAATAGCTGAAGGCAAAATACAAACAGATTAACATTGAAAGTGCTCAGACTGCGAGGTAAAATAAATTAAATTTATTCATATTTTTCAATCTAGTAAATGTAAGCATGTATAATATAAAATTTCAATATACCCTTCGGGCACAGAATGTGATTTTAAATATAAGAAAACAATTTTACCACTTAGACAAGTACTATGAATTAAAAAAACTGTTATAATGAATGTTTGTGCATATGTGTACAGGATAAGCAACAGAACTGTTACATTTGCTTATCCTGTACAATGTTGTCACCTAGCCAATAAATACAATAATAATTATCAAAAATTTAGCAAGTTTTGTCAGATTTAGATGTAAGTAGTTATGATTTAACTATTAACTGCATGATCAATTGAAAAGCATGGGCATTTTGTTTATTTTTTCTAAGTACAGTATGGACACAGACAGAGCCTAAAGTCTATACAAGTACAGGCTGTCTATACTAAATACAGATGAATGGTAACTCTATTATTTTTAAGAGGCTTAAGGTCTTCTACTGTAATATTTGTGGCTAATGTTTTGTTTATATTAAAACCAAATTGTGTTTTATGTTCAACGGAATCATAGATATAAAGTTTTTTCTTTGTGTTTTATAAATAAATATTTAACCAAAAAATTCAATATAATAAATTTAAGTTAATCCTAATATTTGTATTAAAAAAAAAAGGCTAACCTATATTTAGTGACCTAGATCCTTTTTGATTGAGAAATTTTTTTATTGTAGAAAATCCGAATAGGTAATGAACAAAGTATTAACCTTACTAAGAAAGAAAATACTGATACCAATTACAAAGCAGTAAGTAAGAGAACAGTTTCATCTTAAGAATAATTTCTGTGTAGTTGATGGAAGAAAGTAAATGTTGAGGGCAGATGAAAAACCAAAGCAAAAAGAGCTTAGAAATTTAGAATATTCTTATACAAATTAAAAAAAGTCAGCACAAAGAAGCAAGATCAATTGGAGAGTTTTGTAAATGTAAGAACTGTAGAGAATTACTTGAAGATATAGAACATAACATCCAATTCATTTTGGGACGTAGGTATAGTATTTTCCTTATCATACATTTCTGTTTGTTTTCAACAATAAAAGTAATGGCACAGTAAAACTAAAAGAAAAGAAGACATAGGATTTAAAAATACTTCTGCATTACATTCTACCTATTAATCAACAGTTTTACCTTGATGATATTGGAAATATAATTAGTGAATAAGAAAATGTGGAACCAATATGAATACAGTGACTGAGAAGACATTGAAATAGACCTAGAGGCTCCAAATATTTTTTGAAACTATTGCTATGCCACATATTTATTTAAAATTACTTTAAAACATTTGTATTCTTACTTGCTTTAAAAAGTTGTAAGCCACATACTTTTGAAAAATACACAAATTTTTATAATCAAAAACAGCAATTTGCCATTTTTTTAGAAGGATAGTATTCAATAAAATATTGTAAACATAAAAAAGAAAATGAAGCTTTTCAAATAAACTGTATTTCAAGATTTGGATAAAAACTATAAACCTATTTCACAAAGTTTTCTTAATGAGGCTTTGGTTTCTTATTGCTCCAACCTCTTCAATTATTATATTCACCAATTAAAGTAAATTTTCAGACTTTTTACTTCAGTTAATAATACTTTGATTTTTTTTTTAATAATTTTTATTTTAAGGTTGCTGTGTGAAATTTTGGAAAATTTGCTAGATTTCGTGAATAAAAGAGAAAATTTGGTTGTTTGTGGCAGAATTTTAACTATGTGAGGCATTTGTAGATATTATGTTTGTTTGAATTCATGGTTGAAGTTTGTCATCTTTTCTTTCAATTTTTCTTTAGAAACTATTCAATATATTTCTTTTTATTTATATACTTTACTATGAGCTTGTTCTATTGTATTTTATAAAAAAATATGCATGAAAAATCTATGACATCACTGCAGATTAATCTGCCACTGAAAAGATTTCAATACATTTAACTTCAAATTAAATATTTTAATTTTGTAACTAGTAAATTAACAAAACACTTTAGATATTAAGAACAAGTGGCCAAAATAATTGTTCAGTTGTCTAAAACTAGCTAATTGGTGTAGTTACCATTTATTTGGTGACTTTTTACTTGAATCTCAATAATTTATTTATTACTTCTGATATAAAATTTAATGATGCATGAATATTTTGAAAAAGTATTTTAATTTTAAAATTTTATTAATATTATTTTCCATGTATTTCCAATGTTTCTTTGAAATATAATTATTGCTTTTTGAAATATATCACTTTAAATTATTGCGGATGCTCTACTAAAAGCTACTTTCTTCATTTGAGAGAAATTTTTTAGCTTTTGTGAATATTTCTGTAAAGTACGATGGAATAAGTCTATACAAAGATATGTAAATAAAAAAAATTAAGAGAAGATCAAAAGAAAAACAAAGAAAATTTGTTTACACCAAGACATAGTCATCAACAACAAACTCAGTGTAGCTTTCAAAGCCATTTGATGTTTTCTTAAGATAACTCAAGCGTTGCCAGGTATATCATCTAGTATTAAATAATTTGGACTAATTATTTATACAGTAGGGTCTTAAGATTAATTTCCACAATACCAGAGAGAGTATCATAAGTAGAATTATTGTAACACAGTCTCCAATTAAGATTGACATTTTTACAGGAAGTGATATCATCTTTGTTTTTGTTTTCTGATTAGAGTATATTTTTCAGTGACGTGGAAACCAGTCTTTAGGCTACTTTATGTGGGAGTTATATATGCTAATTCATGTTTTTGTAGATTTTAAAAAATTTGTTCATTCTGAAACTTTAAGAGTTATAACAACTACAGTGGCCTTTGATTTAGTGGCTAAAATTTATGTCCTAAAGAAATTTTAAAACTTTAATTACGAATAGAGTTACTAAAAAGTTGAATAAATGAGTATAAATTATTTAATGTACAGTACATTATATTAATATTTTATTCAAACTTATACATTATAATATCATTTTACTATATCCTGTACTGTACATTATAAGTTTGTTATTAATATGTGTTTTTAAAATATATTCAGTTTAATGGACTTTTTGGCAGTAGCAGACATTCCTTACCCATTTAGTCTATTAAACTGAGAGAATAGTATTTTTAAAGAAATGAAGTGAACATATTTCAATTAAAATAGATTACAGAAAACTGATTAAGAAAAGGATGATGATATACTGAATTGAACATAAAACCATAAAACAAAAACATAAAATTAGGATAAATTGAAATAAATACAGTAAAATATAAACAAAATCCTTTATGTTGCTTGCCATACATTCTTACAATGTGCTCCTTTAGACATGCATACCATAGATTTGTTATCTCTGGGTCAGGTTAATTCACTTTTAGTGCCATTGAATTTGGCTGTTAAGTCAGCAAACTGTACTTCTCAGCTTCTGGTAATCCTAATATGATAATTAAGAAAAGTTTTCTTTGTCTAACAAAGGCAAACACCTAGAAAAAACAACACATGCAAAGTAGAAGATAAAAAAAGGAATTCAATTCACATGATAATAAAGTACAGGTACAAAGGGATTCCAACTCAAGGGGTTTTGATTTACAGTCACCCAAAATCCAGTGATTGGTATAACAATTGAAATTTATTGCGACTAGAACAAAAAGAACCCAACAATAATAATTACACAAATTTTCCTAAACATTAATTCCTAATACTAATTTATAACTAGAAGGAAATTGAAGGTAGGGCTAAGAAGTAGCAAAAATGACAGATAGGATAGGAAAGAATACCCAGGTAGTGTAGCATAAACACTTTTGGTTACCATGAGGGCAATGTGAGAGCTTCTTAAACATAAAATACTTGCTTCTGTCTTCCTTTTCTTTGGTATTTGTATATTTGATCCCAATAGACTGTTGCACGTTTGGACTCATTAAGCTGAAACTCCATCTCTAACACACTCACTAACTTCAGTCTGGAAATTTCAAAGTTCCCACTTGAAGTTCTGACTTCACCCATCTACTTGGGCATCAGACATTGTAACATCTTCTTTTTGTGGACTTCTCTCCTCGAGCACAAGCCCAAAAAGCGACCTTCTTTCACTTTGTATGCTCTCAGGTAACCTTGTATTCATTGTTCTGGGAATTCCAGAAAGTGGCCCCCACCTCCAAGAAAGAAGAATTAAGAAGATTAGAAAGTTCAAAAGAACAAAGAACAGAAAAAAATGTCATATGAACAAAAGAAAAAAGTATACAATATGGCATACAACCACACTAAGACAGAAAACTACTGAACATGTAAACAATCCTTAAACTTGATTTTTAAGCATTCCAAACTATCTTCCGTGTTATTGTGCTATATCAGCCTATCTCTAGTCAAATTATTTTACAGCTAATTATTAAATTAGACTTTTTATAACCTGATAACATGGCAGATAATTAGGAACAACTGAATGTTACTCACTGTGATGAATATTCTGATTTGCATATATTTTTCTCAAATAATATACTTGATATTGTATAATAAAATTTTGCTCTGTATATTCACTAACATTAGACTAAATTGTTATTCATTGTAGTAAAATATTTTAAACACGATTTAATGTTATGTAATTTTGTGCAGATGTTGTTTGAAAGTTAGTATTTGAAAGTGTTACACATAGTGTTTGAAAGTTAGTATGGGTTATATGATCTGCCAGTTTTACCTTTTAATTTTGAAATCATCGAACAGCATTTCTTTTTGCTCTAAAATAACTAATTTTAGAATTTTTAATTTTTTAGTATTTTCTAAATGCACCATAATAGACATATTCATCTGTCATTGTGGTTTTCTGAGACCATTCAAGATTCTTACGCTACACGTAGTATTCTCCCATTTATTTTTTGTGTGCCTATCCACATTGTAATTGATATGTACTTGGATCTTTATTCTTAAGAGCTAATAATAAGTTTCCAGTAATTTCCTTCTAAGTAAAAATTCTCAGAAAACTAGAAGGTTCCATTTAAAAGCCGAACAATCGGTTTTTGAATCTGTGTCAATAGATGTCATTGACATTAAAATTGTTTCTATTTGTGTTTATTTTAGCATTTATGATTATTACTCTATGATAAATAAAATAAAAACAAAGCAATACAAAAAATTTTTGTCATTCAGTAGCCATTTTGTATTTTTGACACTTAACAAGTGACTTGCTGCAAGTGTGGCTGTTCTTCCAAAGACAGCATTGTAATTTTGGTTGCTGCATTTACTTTTGTGTAGTGTGTGTGAATTCACCTTTAGGGGTATAATCCATTTCATTTATTTTATAATTATAGTAGAATCTTGTTTTAATGGATTGCAGAATAATGAATTTTTTTCCAGGTCCTGCCAAATCAATGTAATTTTACCTCTTTTTAGCAAATTTGTAACTCAGATTAATGGATTTTTTTCTAGCCATAACTATTGTAAACTGCATTTTTTCAACATTTAATTAATATTTGGGTGTTTCCAGGAACTTGTAGTTTGAAGATGCATTGTTACATCTGAGATATGTCCAATTAGGAACTGTACAGAGTCAGTAGGCTGATACGATTTAGGAGAAGCTATCTAGTAAACATTCTGATGCAGGTCCACCTGTAATGCTGAAATTTAATAGGGCAATCGAGTCTTTCTAAGTCATGTTTGTATAGAATAGAGATCTCAAGAGAGTAAATAATTTCAAGTGCTGATACTTTTTATATGTAGGGGGGGTTAAAAAATGGGAATTTTCCTGGGTGTGTGGGAAATCTGTTGTTCGCAATATAATGGATTCTCAGAACAAAGGATGATTTTCAGCAGCGTGTAC